CGCCTGCAAAGACCCCCTGCTGCGTTGGTCAAAGGGGTGGTGCGTGAATTGGTTCTTAGGAGCCGCAACTTCTTGGGCGTACGTGCGTGAGTGCGCGCTTATGTCTGCGAGTGGAAGTAGGTCAAGTGGTAGACTTCAGGACACCAAGTGGAACAGGCGCTTGCGAAGGCACATGACGTTGGGTCAGCGGGCTTTGGAGAACGAAGGGGGCCAGGGGGAGGAGTAATCATGGCCCACCGCCACAACTTAAGTGTTCAATGGCCGGAGGCAGCGGTCGCCAGCCAATCAAAAACGGAATAGGAACCGCACAAAGCTACAAGATCTCTTTTATTAAGTATACAGATTTACAGATACAGATGGCAAAGCTCATCCTTGTCCAAAACTAACCCGACATCAAACAGGCATATTGGAGGATGTTGTAAGTATGATTCAGCATTCTTCTTTTATACCGTCGAGCCTCCTAACTATTCTCATTATTTTGTCGTAACTGGACCTCAAAATACTAACAGAAGACTTATAAGTTTAATGAGACTGAAACTTGTGAGACCCAGCTCCTGAGACAGATAGTAACGTGTTACACATATCAGTGCTCGATATTGACTAGGTTGTCGTTAATCTACTCATTATTCATTTTTCGGCTAAATCGTCCAATAAAAGAAAACCTACTATTGATTTGGATGAATTTGTGTAGGTTTTGCATTTTGCCAGTCTAGAGCCTGCCGAATCGGGTTTCGCCCCTCTAACCTAATAATTTGGGTAGTTTCTTATTAACTGCATTGCCAGCAAGTTTTCAAGTTGTTGGACAGAATTGTCATTGCAATCTTCTACTCGAACTGTCAAACCGGACAGCTGCAGAGTCATTGAGTCTATCCAATCATTTCAAAACTATCTTTGTGCAACCAAATATTGTTTACTTGTCGCAAAGATTGTAGGTTGTAATGACTGCCTTCCGCGATTGCTTTTACAGTTTGGACTGCGGAACGATGAGTTTCCATGTCTCAAATCTTGCCTTTTTGGACTGTTGTAATTCTACATAACTTGACTTCTGGCAGGATACTTTTGTGGTGGAGCTCAGAGATGGACTGTTAAGTTTATGCGAACGGAAACACCCTCGAGACACTGGCATTACTGGTTCTGGCGTCATATATCAATCTGGACTCCTGCACACAGGTATAGAGTTTCGAGCCAAATAGAATGTAAATACTGACTCATTGCGTGACTAACGTTACAATATCGGGTAAACGAATACCTGTGATGTTGCGTAACAGAAGCTATTTGTGACGATCTGATAAATGTGCTCGGCGAAGTCCATCATTGTCCCATCTGACTTCAAGACCGGAATGATTGTGTGGGAAGCTGTTTCGTCTTATCTGGCTATTCTGATCGTCAGCAACTGCCAATAGTAGCCTTGCTACTTGTCAGAAAAACCTGTCCTCAAACCTTTAAAATTATCTTACTGAAACAATATTCGGATACCAAGGGAATCAGTACGCATATTTACTGTATCCGTTCTTGTAAATGGTACGTGAATATGATTTTCAGTTGTATCTAGATGTAAAGAACCAAACGAACTGATGATGATCATACTTCTGTAAAAGGTCTGCAAAGGCTTGATTGCTTGCTGATGGAAGCGGACAGGCGAGTCCCAGGCAGTAGTTCGGAAGAAGGAGATGCGATCGCTGAAACCTGGTACAGTAGTCGCCGGCTGTTAAGCCCACCTCGGGCCCAGACCAAATTGGGC